CAAAAAAAATATTATGCAAAATTATATAAGGCTAAGTAATGAGATCGCGGTTGGAGGGGGAGGCTAAGAGGGATGGGGTGGGATAAAGAAACTCACAGCACGAACGCCATTGAGGTCGGCTCCTTGCCATATCAGCAAGTGTGTCCAACCAAACGTGTTCATCGTCTTTCGGACCCCAACCAGGGAGCCGAGACGCTCCAACCGAGGCCAGCTCAGAAGTGAGGGTCTTCATGCCTCTGGACCAAGTCATCGCTTGGCCACCCCTCCTCTTCTTCCACCCACACCCCCGGCGCGCACACAACACACGTCGCGGAAGTCGGTGGGCTGGCATGCGTAACACGTGGCCGAGCCATCGGAGCCTGATGCGTGAAATAACGGTGCTGAGCGGTTCATTTCCTTTTCCTGTGCCATAAACAAGGCGTCGAACACGCTCGTTACTCACGCGGTGTTCCCACCAAACGTGAGCTAAATTACGAAGGCACCGGTGGTTGAACGTAACTAGCCTCTTCAGATCCGCTGCTTTAGGCGGCCAGGTTTCACAACCGTACAATAGGGTCGAACGTACTGCTGCATTGTACACTCTACCCTTCAGGGCAAGAGTGATGTCGCGCCGGCGCCATAAGTGGCGAAGGTTAGCAAAAGCACCTCGAGCTTTTGCTATACGGTTCGTGATCTCATCTTCAATCCCACGGGCGCTGATACAACTTCCCAGGTAGCGGAATTTAAAAACGACTTCTAGCTGATCCCCACCAAGGGTCAGCGTAGGAGGCGGTCCAGGCCAATCTTGGAGAAACGCTTTGCACTTCGAGGGTGCGAAGCAAAGCCCGAAGTGACGGACAGCTAGTGCTAATCTGTTCAGTGCCGCTTGGCACGTTTGTGAGCTGTCACAGATTAGGGCAGTATCGTCAGCATACTCTAAATCAAGAAGTCGTTCTCCTGGGAGTAGCTCTACACCTTCCAAGTCGTGTCCTGTGAACGCGATTTCCATGACTTCGTCAACAGCGAAATTGAAGAGGAAAGGTGACAGCGGGCATCCTTGTCTCACGCCGCTGGAGAGATTAAAGGGCGACGACAACTTGCCGTAAGCCCTCACTCTGCCCGAGCTACGAGCGTATAATGCTCGGATAATATTCACATATTTCTCAGGTACACCCTTTCTGAGTAGACAGTCCCAAAGTGCATGTCTATCCACCGAATCGAATGCACCTTTGATATCGAGGAACACGACTACGGTGGGCCGCCAATATATGTGACGGTGCTCCAACAACTGACGCAAGGTGAAGATGTGGTCAACGCAACCACGACCTCGACGAAATCCAGCTTGCTCTTCACGAATCTGGCTTTCACGAGTGCCAGTCAGTCTGTGAAGGATGACAGAGGCAAGCAATTTGGAGGCGATGGAGATCAGACTGATTCCTCTATGGCTGCCGCATTCCGATCGTGAGCCTCCTTTGAAAATTGGAACTATGATGGAGCGGCTCCAATCGGTTGGGACAGTTTCCTGCTCCCACAGTCTCACTAGTAACTCGTGTAAATCATCCACAAGAGCAGGTCCCCCGAATTTGAAAAGGGCTGGAGGAAGGTCATCAGGTCCCGCGGCTTTATTTAACTTCAACATGTTGATCTCATGTTCGACTTCTGAGCGAGAGGGTGAATCCAAAGGAACAGCCCACGGAGCAGGGCGATCACTGGTCGGCGAGAAATCTAACAATTCCGACCGATTAAATTGCCTTTCAAAGTGCTCAGCCCAACGTTCCAGGCGTTTTGATAAATTGTGGATGGGCTGTCCACTCTCGTCACGTATAGTTTCACTAACACCAGGTCTCCTGCTGCCCGTTTCCCGTATAAGACGGAATAACTCACGATGGTTACCAAGGGCAGCGGCCATTTCCATCTCTGTTGCACGACGAGACCACCAGGATTCGCGGTCTCTCTTCAGGCTAGCACGGAGTTTTGCCTGGAGCTCTTTGCGAGTTTCATTGTGTTCGCTTCCAGCCGGAATATGCCGGCGAGCATCTATAAGTTCCAAAGACTGTGAAGAGACCCAATGTTCATGTTGGCGATTAGACATACCACATGAGGATTTGCCTGCTGCTAGTAAGGCCTGTTGCATATGAGACCAGTGAGCTTCAATTGCATCCAGTGAGCGTTTATCCAACTCGGATGACAGCGTAATTTGATAGGCGTTCAGAACAGCTGGATTCACCAGTCTGCCGGTGTCAATGCGCTCACAACATCGTAGCGGGCGTCCGCCAAAGCGCATCCGCAGGTCAGCACATACAAGTGCATGATCGGTGTCCACACATGTGCTCCAAATCGAGCGACAGTTCTGGACGCAGCCTCTCCAGCGGTAACTTATCGCAATGTGATCGATTTGCGTCCATAGCTGGTTCGAGGCTGGTGGGCGCCAAGTCACCCTCCAGCGGGTGCTGTGTCGGAAATTAGTGCTCGCAAGAAATAAGCGAGTATCCTCACACAAATGAAGTAACCGCTCACCGTTATCATTACGGGAGCCTATACCATGTTGGCCGCCCAGATGCAGCTCATCTGCGGATAATTTTCCAACTTGAACGTTCAGATCCCCAGCCAGCAATACAGTGTCCGAGCTTCTTCTGTGGCGAAGCAGTTCGTTCAGTTGGCGATAGAAGTCGTCTTTTACCGAGTCATCGCTACAGTTTGTCGGTGCATAGGCAGCGATAACGAATAGACACCTGTTAGTCCCGCGCGACTTCGAAGTTTTGAACGAGCCAGCAAATCGGACCGCACACATCCGCCTACTGATTTGAATCCAATCAACCAGAGCAGTTTCAGCCCGGGGACTCAGGGCAATGCAAACACCGGCTTGGCCAGTACTCGAAGCTGCATCGTCACCGGATAGGCGCAATGAGAAAGTGCTGCTAGTGTCACCTGAAGGGGATCGCAGAGTGAGTACAGAGCTCGAGTCTTGCAGGCGGGTCTCCGATAAGCAGCAGATGTCGATCGAGAGGGTCTCTAATGTTCGGGCAAGTGCTGCCTGTTGACCAATCTGAAGCAATGTGCGAACATTGAGGCATGCCAGTCTGAAGGAGGATCGAGGGCTCTAAATGGAAGCCGATGAACTGGAATGGGCCGCTTGCTTGGACATGGGCCTGTTGACAGTGCAGGAAAGACGCTCTGCGTTCACCTGTGAGTTGAAACTAAAAGACAAGCGACTATTGAAGCAAGGTGGGGGAGGGCCGAGAATTGGGGGTTGAAAACAGGGGGGGGATAAAAGTGAAGTTGGAACGGGGTGATAAGTTTAAAAAAGCGTAAGCAGGGGAATAAGAAGATGGGAAGGCTTGAGCAGTAGTATCCAAACCCCTATCCACCCTGCTCGATGCAGCAGATAGGGCACCGTTGATTATCCTCTGCGGTGGCCAGAGCATCAGAAATTTGTTTGGGGAAGGATTCATTGTATTGCGTGGGCAGGATACTGTCAGGTTGCCCAGGCCTAGACAGGAGAACGATTAGGGTTCTCAATCAAAGCCTTTGGTTCAAAAACCTGGCCGCAAGGCAGCGGGTTTGGCACTGGACTACAAGGAGTCCGTTTTAAGGAATAAGGAGCCACCCTCATTCCAACCCCCAACCTGGAGGACCAGGAGGCTGAGTTTGTCCGGCCTCTAACCATTGACCAATCTGGTATGAGTGGCTCTGAAGGCGCAAAAGCACCACACAGTATAGCTCAATGGATCACTGAGGCACGCAAACCATCGCACCACGGTAAGGTCCAGCCTCACTGCGATGGAACACGTTGATGACTAATGGCTACCTTCGAAATTCTATCCGGAAGCACAGCGAAATCCGTGAAATGAAAGTTGCTGTACCTACTGTACCTAGCTGCTCTTTAAGAGTGACAGTGCTTCTTTGAGGACCAGAAGACGTCTGATTTCTGTCACACAGAGCACTTTCTGTGCTGCCGAAGTTGTAATCATCGACCGAACTCATAAGCTACCGTTGTCTCCACTAAAGGAAACGCAGCCTATTGGGGCCAACTCCCATTCCGTATATCAATTTGTATGTAACTGCGGGGATTGTTACATAAGCAGAATCAATAGAACACTGAATTCCCGAATAAGGGAGCGCGTATCAAAATGGGTTCAATGCGGATTATTCAGCAAGCAAGCCCAAACCAGACTACATGTGTGCGCAGGCCGCCAGCACCTTCGATTGCCAGGCATATATTGACATCGGGTAACCGAATTGAGGTCAACAAGGCGTTTAGGATCCTGCTTTGCCATACCAATTCCCGGTGCCTCCGGTAGGCCGAGTCTATTGCCATTAATCGGACTAAGCCAGTGCTTTTTGTTCAGAAAATATTATCGGTCAGCCTCAGGCTGTCCTGGTCGTAGAAGATAGATACCCCTTTTCTTCTCGCGTTTGTTTGTATGTATCTGTTCCCACAAACTGTTATAACATCATCATCATCATTATGCGCGTACGCTAGAGGGGTAAAGCATCACAGCTACTGCGCCGTAATAATTAGA